TAGTATTTAATTTAATTCGAATGTATATCAACATTTATATTTATAAGCTTCCCTTGCTTGTCTTATAATATCGTGTCAGATTGCAATGAAAATTTTAAACTGAATTTGACAAATTTGAATGTTACTTATTTCTTTGGCCATACATCGAATATTACTTGTCTGTTATCAGTCGTGTATAAAGTAAACGTAGACATAGAATAAACATAAAGTCTTTTGTTTGTTTAGTCAATTATTCACGACAAAATACGTTCATCGAGCACGGATGTAAAAAAAATCATAATACGAGTTAACCCACTAGAGACGAATTACATATCAGGTGAATAATATATTACTTAAAACTCCAATCACACACAGAAATAAAGTAAAACTTACTGCTCTGAAAAAACATATATCGGTTTCAAGTCGAGTCCTCAAAATAAGTTTTCATGAGACAACAAATATTCATTCTAAATTCTCAATCTAAACCAAAGAGAAATTCTAAAAATCTCTGTAATTAAACATTCATATATAAATTGAGACTGAACCCCCTCAAATTCCATTTACCTTTATAAATTTACTAATTTAATATTAAAAGTAACCATTTTTTTCTACCAATTTTAAACACTTTGGAACGGTCTTTTTAAAATACCCTGCTCTCGAATGGGTTAACCGATGTTTACCCGATGTCGTTTCTAACTGTAACGCTTTACGTATGAGTTCGAAGAAACGCAGCGTCGATAAAGCGGCGCGGCGGTGACACGATGCGACGAGACGCGACGCGATCATGGTTTTGTTTGTCTTTGTACGTAGAAGTATGTACCTTTCTCCAAAGCAAGTCACGCGCGAGTTCCGCGCGTTCTTACGCGCTTGCGTAATGCGTAATCGTCGGACGACGCGAAAAAAAGAGGGTTATCCGCCTCAGTGCCGTACGCCGCCGCCTTTCTCCCCTTCCACGATCACGATCTATCGATCGTTGCGCGCGCGTGAGAGAGCGACCGACCGGTGCTCGATCATCGATCGTTTTTTGGTTTTCATACCGGTGACAAGTTTTTCGTGGACAGACCGGCTGAAAATTTCGTGTGCAGCTCATCGATCGATCCATCAATCGATCGAACATCTCGAGGACCACCTCCGTTCACGGCGCGGGTCGCTTTCGTTTTTAAAACAATAATTATAATAATCGGTCTTCATTACAGACACAATCATTACCCATTTACACCGGGCCTCCACAATACGGTATCGCGTGTGACAATGTGTTTGGAGACGTTAAGTGCATTTTAATATTTTCCGACTGGCCGATCAAGCGATACCCGTGGACCACCAACGTTCGTTGCAGACCGCTTTCATTTTAAAATAATAATTATTGTAATCGGTCTTCCTCTCTTGGGACAATCATTATACATTTGCGATGGGTGTTCGAAATGAGAAATGGAGTTCATTAATATTTTCTGAAATATTCAATTTTCATCTTGCGTTACTGCAGATGATGTAATGCGATGCATAAATGGGATAATCCGGTTGCCGATACAAACGGACTGAAAATGTAATAAAATGAAGAAAAGTTATAGCATGTTTATCAATTTCTACGTGTTCTTCGACTACAGAAGTACGATTTTAGCAGTGCAACTGGAAGATAGAGTTGTTTCAGTTGACTTTTTTTGAAAACGATGCTTAATGGTACATCGGGGACCGGAAGTAGACATAATTTCATATTCGCAACTCATACCCTGAAGGCTGGACTTTTTGAACTCTGGAAATATGTGACGCTGAGCACGCGAATATTTCACCTGTAATCTCCAGGCGCAAGGATTTGTTTGTTCCTAGCACGCGTATAATGCTCAGCCCACGCTATAGGCTTTAGATTCACTTCGGAAGCTTCGGGAAAGTGGGAGAATATATTTGAGCGTATATTTCAAACAGAATGCTCGTTGTTTACAATTTCCTTGGCGTGAAAAATTATCTGAAGATTAAATCAATTCGATTTTTCGTCGAACATAAAGAAGACATTTGTTAATTGAGCTTATAGTCTTCTCGTAAGTAAATAGAGACATAAATAGTTCAAATTCAAAACATCTTTCTTCATTTTGGGTTATTATCGTTTTTACGATAATAATACCTCTATATATACTAATACCTCATATTTTCCTTTAAACAGTTTACATTTGCTGCATAATAAAGTAGGCCACTGGTTATCACGCTAAACATGGAGCCAAGACGAAAATTGCAACATATGAAAGAATTTTGCAGCAGGCAGGCCCAGATTAAAATGGCGAGAGCGTGCCACGAGGAGCGCGAAATTACCATTATTCCCGTCAGGCTTTCGTCGCGCGCAGAAATTTCGCGACGATACTCCTTGATCGCGTCTCATTTGCGAGGCAGCCCCGTAAAGAGTGGATTTTTATGCAGGGCTAAAATGTACAGTGCGAGGTCGTCTGGTCGAAAAATATCGTCGTCGGTCTCTCAACGGCATGATGAGAGATTTACGGTTCCAGATGGCCAGGAATACAATAAAACCTTGCCGTTCACGGAGCTTATGTTTCTGGTAAAGATCGCTACTTGCATAGTTTAACTATTACCTATTATCTATGTAGTTTAATTTATCTATTATTCTAATACAATATAAATGTAACATGTTACGTATATCTAATTTATCTATTACCGATGTAGTTTAATTTATTATATTATTATATAGTCTAATTTATTTATATTCTCTGTCTCATTAATTTGGAAAAGAAGTACCAAAGTTTATCTTTCCTACGTAATTTTGATACGATATAAAAAAATATTAGTAAAAACAATATAGCTTTGCGATCTAGGATTAACAAAACTGAATTAGGGAGGAAGAGCTGTTAAATTAAAGATGTAAACGTAAATTGAAACTTTTATTTTGAAGGTACGTTGAAAAATAATACTTTCAATGAGAATTCTTCCAGTAGATGTTAATATGGAGAATGCAGAAGAACAAATGCCAAATATAAACAGTGAATGTGGTTAGAGAAACTGATAAATTCAAAAAGCTAACAATTTCGGCCATGAATAATCGAAATCAACGTCCTGAAAAGTCAATGCTAAAACGAGGAAGTTAAAAATTAAATTCAGTTTCCATCGGTTACCGCAAATAAACAAAACATTCTGTAATCTATAAAAGAAGTTACAAATTTGTAATTCTCATGAGTAATGCAAAACCATGATTGGTAAAATCGAGAACTGTTGTTCCATATACAGTAGAACCTCGATTATTCAATTTAATTAGGCGACTAACAGATAAATAGAGATTTGCAAAATTTATTCGTATAACCTTAAGATATAATTTGCGAATCTAAGTTTTCATTTTCATTTATTCATTTAACGGACAGATGCCATTTAGTACAAAAAAGGAAGTGATATAAATGAAGGGTAAGGAGTTTACAAAGCAAGAGTATTTCAATATAATACAATAGATAATAAAGTAATAAGCAAAAACGAAATTAAATTTTAAATCTGAAATTTCACTCAGCAATTAGTTTTTCGCAGAGCTTTTCAAGCTATTTAAATTTCCGGAAAATATATCAACTTGATTGCTAAATGTGTTAACTTCTGTACATATTCCGGTAAAATTATTGTGTGTGAGTAACCAAGATTTTGAACAATCTAGATAGCGAAACATAGTAACTTGGCTAATCAAGATTCTACTGTACCATTCAGTGGGAACCAAAGAATCCGCGTCGATGGGAACGTGGCGACTCTCGCGGGATTGGGTACGTTTCCGGGTACGTTCTCTGGCGGGATTTTCGCTTCTATGCGCTTCCGGTGCTCGTAAACGCGAGGACGGTCAAGAATGGGCCGACTTCTCTTCCCTGCTCGCAGCTTGCTCGTAACGGACAGTCTTATTTGCAGCTGACAGAATCTCTGGTGCTCCGAGCGAACTCCACAACCTTTTTCGATCCTAGCGACCAAGGAAAATCTAAAGGTACACCTAGAAAGTAATTTGTGATATTCTTTTCTAATAGCAACTTGTGGAAGTGCTCACGCTTCTATGTTATTTTATTATTATCGTAAGTAGATTGAACTTGCTGCTAGCAATCTTAGATGCTTTTATATGCATTATGAGAGTCGATTAGAAAATCAGTACGGTTAGAGAGTTAAATTAGAAAGAAATTGTACCTCTGTACCTTAAGCGAGCATATACTTTCGTCTAATATTGAAATAAATATTCCAAGATTCTTAGATACCAGTTACCATTGGTATTTTAAAACTCTGGTATAAACGAGCGATGCTTTATTTTAGTTAGAAGAGAAATCTGTTCACTGTAGAACTAAAATGGATTTTCGAAATACAGGTTCATTGTTCCTTAAGGGATTGTGTACCGAATGCAGTTGTTTATCGTTAACGTCGGTGTTTGTATATTATAATAATTGAATGTAAATATTGCTTTGGGCTGGTTTATAGGAGACTCCTTGGGGAGGAACTGTAGCTGAAGGCTGCTTTTAGACCTGCAAAACCATTTCCGCGGGTTAATTCCATTTATTCATAACCATTATTAAAACACGACTATGACAGTCGAGGTAGAATGTAAAAATAATTCCAAACTGTACTTTCGTTGAACGGATCAATGAATTCTACGCAAACCATAAACAATCGCAGAACTGAGGATACATACATTTATACCAATCTAACTCAAATTAACTTATACAATCCTCCCTGCTTCATTCCAAATACACAAAGAACTTCTACAAGTTAGTGTTACAATATACGAACGATCTCGCAAACATCGCAAGTGTATCGACCAACCGTCCTCAAAGAACTATCATAAGAATCCTTGCGAACGAAAGGTGGTTCATTCAGTCGTAAAGGTTCGCGTTTCAATTAAACCGGGAAAAGCGTGGCCGAGTTCCGCGCCCTCCCTCTTTTTCAAACACGTTTTCGCGGGCTAGTGCTCATGCGCCAGGCGGGCACGTCGGGCGGAACACGAGACTGTGAATGGGACGACGACGCTGACGGCGACGACGCTCGACGTACGAGCTGCGAGGGAAAGAGGACGAGCAGAGAGAACTCAGTCTGGCCGCGCGCGCCCACGATCACTGTCGACCGCCGGTCTCACGTCGTTCTCCTCGCACCGGCGCGGGACGGTCGTTTGAATTTCGAACATTTCACGCTTTTCGACGCTCGCCTATTGCCCCGTATTTATAGCGTTCTTCTTCAGCATCAGATCACCTTGACAACCGAGAAACTGTTCGAAAGAAAGAAATCCACGATAGGTCCGAGCAGTGGACGTTAACGAGGATTTTCGGTTTTTATTTTTGTTTGGACGGGCAGTTCTCGCGTGGGAGAGTCGATTGACGCGAAATGCGCGTGAACTAGACGGGAGACGTTGGCTGGCCGCGGCGTTTTCGTTACTCCGATTCGCCGCACCGATTACGGGCCGCATTCTCTCACGGAAACGCCGCTCGCGAATTTCAATCGTTGCACTCTAGGCTCGCTCGCTCGCTCGCCGCTGGAATGCTTTAATTTCTTCCGCGGTCGGTGTGTTATCGCGATCGGCCCGCCGCTTCTGGTCCATCGCACCGCCGCGCGCTGCCTCGCGGAGAATGAGACTGCTGGTATCGGTCTGCCCGCCGGTGTTCGAGAGTTTCTGAGGACGGCTGACGTCTCCGCTGCGTTGTTGATCGGAAACAAGACGACCAAGGTAAGGGCTGCAGTCGGTGCGTTCGCTCCGATTCCCTTCGAATTGGTTGTCGAGGATTTTTGAAAGTTTACCAAACAGTTTCTTTTTGGAAAACAATTGGTACTATTGTTCTGAGATTTGTGTGTTTTCTTTTAGATAGCTGCGAAAGTACTTGTAACCTTTTTATTTTATGTAGAACCGAGTGTATTTCATTTAGTGCTAATAGCTAATTTTATATACCTGAGTCAGTTGTGCATGGTTGACACAACGAGATATTGAAAGAAAACGTTACTTGCAAGTTTTCATTTTTTAATTCTTTTCAGTCTTGAAATAACTAGTCTAATTTCATTGCGTCGATTGCATCTAATTGCACCATTACCCTATGATTTCTTTCGCAATTGCATTCGCTTTAACTATTTTATCATTAATAATTTACAAGAAAGCAAGAAGAATTCTATGTTCGCCTTATGATTAAAAACCGATAATAAGAAAATAAGGTTTAATTCAATTCAAGTAATATTTGCGATTGCTAACCTCTGTTCAAACATTTTGTCGCAACTCTATCACAATCTCATAAAACAAACGGTTAACACGACACTGTATAAAGCAAGAATCAGTACAACTATTTTTCCATCACTCACCAGCACCGATTCGTGTCAACCAAATCGCCCGATTACGCTATAAAAGGGCAACAATATTTTACCTCCCTATCGGAAACCAGCAGCAGTAAGCACGAGAATGTCGCCGGAAGGGCTCGTAACCGTTCCGGTCTGTGCACAATCGGCCGTTTTCCCTTGGAAACTCCGAAAACTTCGGGGCGACCCGTAAATGCCATTAAAGTGGGTCAAAAGCAGCAATCGGGTTCGAGGCGGCGAACAGGCGAAACGAGAGTCGCTTCGACATTCGGAACAGAAAATAGAGAAGCAAGACCTACGATCCGGGCTGGCTTATAAGCTGGCAGAAATAAAGGAAAGAAAGGGAAGAAGAGAGGCGGCGGAGAAAAAGGGAGAAAAAAGAGAATAGGAAAGGAGATCGGGGACACAGCGGAGGGAAAGGATTCTAGCGGCTGGCTGCCGGGCCGTTTGTGAATGACTGGCGCGGGCGCAACTGTTGCCACGTGCCGACCGAAACTTGGCCCGATAAATCACGTTAGGGAGATCTCGGGAGCGAAAACGCCTCGGTAGTCACGCTGCCCGCCTTCGCAACAACTCCAATCCGAGCCCGAGAATCTCGAAATTCGCCGAGGCGGCACCTGTCACTGGCCGTGCGCGATCGACCAACGTGATTAAACTTTTATCGAGAAAGGTGTCAGAGAAGCGAAGAGGTCCGCACTCCGAAAGATACCACGCCCGGCTTTTTCTCTCTCCCGCTGCTGACTGGTTCGGGAACGCATTAACCGACTTCGAGGCTCACTCGGATGACGTTTACGAGGGGAGAAAAATTGTTTTCGTAAATTGAACACGGGTAATTCTCCGTCTTTCCGACCGAGAGTTCCGCCTCGTCACCTCCGTTAATTGAAATTATTTACGTAGCAACCTTTTTTTGCAAAGCTCTGTGTGTTTTCGGGGGATCTAGGGGAAACCGATGCAATGGATAATTAAGATGCCTCGCCTCTGATTTCTCGAGAGACATCAGATAGTATCGCGATAACCGCGGAAACACGACGCGTTCCTGAATCGTTAAAAGATTGGGGTTTACATAACGAATTTTGACTTAAGCTGTTTACATAATAACAGCGTACAGTGTACGTTGTTCGATTAATACATGAATTACACCGGAAAGTAAATCCTCTTAATTTTACGGCTTCGGTCCTTTCGTTCACAACGGATGCTTCGGGAATGAATCATCCCCTGATTACCCTGAAAGATAAATAAAAACGTAAGGAGCGCGTTTTAATTCCGATGACCGCACGGATGTCTTCCTTGACGTTTAAATCCTCGTTTCCCTGGGCTACTGCACAGCATGGACAACAGATCATCGCGGGATGGCGATTTCATTCGGATCGTACGAACGTATTCCGTGGAATTCAAGAACGAGCGTTAAACTCGCGTTAGAAGAACGTTAACTGCGCGCATCTGCGCCGGTATATTGCATCGCGAGCGTAAACGTGAAATAAAGGCGCGCGAAGTTTCAGACTAGTTACCGCGGAGGAGCGCCCTCCTTGATGAATCCATATCTTCGTTGGGACGAAGACATTTTCGCGTCGTGAAAAGAAATAGATTTTGGAACGAATAGAATAATATGATACAAGTTTTATTATTTTTACCGAGAACCTTCTCGCGCGCGTTTGGTTCTGCTTATCACGTTTTTTTCGCAAAATCGTTAATCCATTTGACATCAGTCACAGTTACATGTTTTTAATCCTATATTCAACAAAATATGCCATCAACAAAATCTAAAACATTGTGAAGGGAGATTAACACAGAACGTAAAGTCGTTTGTACGGCCGATGAAAAAGGACGAGGTGCTTTTTCTCGCTAAAATGCAACAACGAGCTCGCTCGTCAGGAATTTCGACGCAGAATAGACACAAACAACAGCCCGAGGCCAAACTTCTCGGCTGTCGTTCAGCGTCTCTACGAAAATAAACTGTACAATAAATGTAGAAACCGAGCGTGTATCGCGCGTACAACGGAGGCTATTGCGATTTCTAGGAAATCGATGACACATTACGGTACGGTTCCGCTGCAGTTTTCGCTGATGCAGTAGCTGTGGTTACTTTGGTCGGCAAACCGCGATAACTGGGAAAAATCGGTAAATTGTAGGAATAAATGTTTCTTGAATTTGAAATACTCGCGTTTATTTAAACTGTTTCTCGAGGTTCTGATGGAAATGACTGAATTGTATAGTTTATTATTTTTTATTATTTATTTGTTTATTTCATTAATTACATTTTGTTGTATCTATAATAGTCGATGATACTGATTTGATGCCATATAATTTGATCAACGATATCAACTTCGAAAGTATGCTCAATACACAAATGTGAGGGTATTCGAGAAGTAGAAACGGTGAGCCATGAACGGACACACGAGCAATGTTAAAATCTCGGAAACGGAGCGTTTTACGAAGAATTTTATTTCACATTTCTTTCTGCAAGGTTACTCGAGAATATAATGGCATTACACTAGATACATTTTCCTCGGGCAATTCAGAGTGTCATCTGTACTTCGAGGAAAATATCTCTAAGACATGGCTCGAGGCTTTTCCGATGAACAATGAGGGCTCTTGCAACCGCAGAATCTCATAAATTATTCCCTGAACAACGTGCGACGGACTTATCGAACAATTATGTTGATCGTCCATTATCCATTCGGCGCGTTGACTAATTAGAAAATGTCCAACGAATAGAAATTGAACGCATAGCCCGAGGTCCGCGTCTACCGTTGACGCAACCTCGAGGCTCGGGGCGTGCCTAAAATTCTCTATGTAACACCATGTGACACAGATTCGAGATCACCTTTTTCGAAAGTCGGCCCCCATGATCGCAGTTGAGTCACTTTCAGCCGCTCTAGAGCCCGAGATATCCCCATCGTGAATCGATTGCTCCGGCGATCGCGATCGTCGTTCATCGGGCTAAGCTCCGATAAAGATCGAGAAAGTTCACCGACGAGCGTCTCTTGGAAAAGTGGTTTTAACAATTTTCTTACTGTCGATTGCTTATTGGCTTCTAGAAATCTACGATTAATCGCTGGGAAACTTTCAATCAATATTTTCAATAGAAATTTCTGTATCAGCCGTGAGCCAACGAATAGCTTTTATCCAAATTATTCTGATAACTTCTTTTTAGAAATTTATTATTGAAGAAGCTAAGAAAACTTGTATAGAATGAAACAATATAAAATACGATATCGAAGTTCTTTATAAACGAAATAATCATCTATTCGATACGAAGCTGCAGAAATTTGTTTGTAAAAGCATCATACGCTATAAAGATCCATAGTTTAACTATACAACTAATGAGTAAATCAACCTTATGAAGATTCTCAAGGACTGATTGATCACTCGAAGTGTCGAAAACGGTGGCTCCGTCGTGAATCGAGTAGGATCCATTTTTAGTCCACCGGTAGATAGTGGATTTGTAAACGAAACAGATAAATTTGGGAATTGCCGCTCGTAAATCCCATGGAAAAAAGGTACGACCGTTTGACCTCGTCCATATTTCGCTCGGCTATGGCCGCTGTCACGCTTGTCTGCTGACGATCCCCCGAACCACGGCCATGTAGGAATATACGCGTTGTTATCCAATAGTATTCGCAGAAGCTGCGCCACTTGTTCCCATAAGAAATTGTTATGAAAAAGGAGCCGACAAAAGGGACTGCCTTATTCCGCTCGATAGACCTTATCAAATTCCATCGGGTTGCAACACGACAAGGTCTCTGACATGCAGGCTACTCCGGGCAACCTTACGAGCAATCCTTTTCATACGTTTCGCGTATCTTCCCTCCATTCCAAGATCTTTCGTCTCCCTTCACTCTGGACTGTCTTCTTCTTTATTCTTCTCTTCGCTAATCAGTAGATCCGAAGCAGAAAAACGTACGTCTGTCTCTTTTATTCACTGTCAAAATCAACTTGATATTCTAAGAGCGACGTAACAAACCCATCTTGTTTGCTAGGGAGTGATGTTCTGCATGACGAACTATAAATTGATATTACATTGCCTTTACCATCGAATAATTGGACATTACTTCTACAAGTAAGTCTCAAAAGTATTGATATTTGATATTAGTGTGATGGTTCCGATGGCAAATTACGTCACAGGTAATATGCAAGTAAGTATAGTAGAATAGGAGGAGAAGACGAATCAGATTGGAAGATTGGGAAAAGAAAAGTAAAAAGATTGAAGAAAATAATGGAGAGAATAGAGCAAAGGAAACATTGCTATCATAAATGCAAATGTTATAAATAAGCTAAGTAAGTATAGAGTAAAGATGTAAAAATGTAATTACACAGAATAAAGGGAGAAGAGATTATTCATAATCCAAAAGAGAATTGCGAAAAACGAACTGACTAGAGAAATAA